AAAAAAAAAAAAAAAAAGAAAACCCAAATTCTGTAAACTAATTTTTGAATGAAATTTCAGACATGAAGACAATAAAGATTCTGCAGTCTGTGGATTTCCTGCATTTGCTCCATTTCTATTGTCTCCCATATAGGTGCTATCAAGCCTCGTAACTGTAAAAACTTAACACTGGAAAGGTTCCAGAATTTAAATGTGAATGCACATGTTTTTTTCAGGAACCTACCAGTATTTTAGTGCTTACTCCTTATTGGCAGTGATGTCAATTGTCATTTTAATGTTTCTAATCTTTGCTACTCATAATCTTCTACGGGCTTCCCGTATTAGATCCCTCATCAGTCAGCAAATATTCTTTACTTTCCCCTTCTGGATTTCAGAGGGATCAAAAAGCCTATTTTCTAGTTCATAACCTTTATTTATTACTATAGCACTGTTATTAATGGCACAAAAACAAACTATGCAGTTAAGCCRTGTTAACAACTCAGAGACTCACTAGCCCAGGAAAGAGCACATTTCAAATCATTTTTGCTTCAATAACAGAATTGCATAGATTTAGTACAGCACAGTTTGGGGCACCATATGAACCATTTGCTTGTCAGTGTGATCAGAACAAGTGACTACTCCTCAGAAACATTCACTGAAGAAAAATTACGAAAAAAGGATTTTTTGACTAGTCCAAATGCCCACGTAGCTGTATATGGCTTAGCTATGACTCTRTTCTTAGAAGAGGTGGACTTTCTAAATTTTAAAATAACTTTTTTTCTAAATGGAGGAGCTATGCAAATTAATCACTTTTTAATAAATTATTTCCACTTGAACCTCTTCGTTATTTTAGTTTTGTTACAAATTGTAAGAATTGCACTGCAAAAATTAGAACATATGCTGCAAGAAAAACATGGAATAAAAAATGACTGAATGGTATCCACTAATTTGAAACTTAATTCAGTTAAATTCTTGTCAGCACATGTGTCCATTCCTCTTCATAATTACAAGCAGTAGTTTTATATACTGCTAATATTACCAAATATCTATACAAAAAAACCTCTCTGCACACACAAAGCAAAAGCTCCTTTTTGTGCCATAACTCATTCTTTGTTTTTCATTGCATGCATTTAAACTTCCTAAATAAGACTTAATAGTGGATAACTAAGCCAGTAAAATATAGTACTACTTATGGCTTCTGCCGATACTTTTAAGTGTACCAGACTCATCCAGACCTTCAATAAGAATATACAGATTAAAAACTGATCTGCCTGAAAATACCAGTTTTTAATCAGAGAAGGGAATAAAAGGACTATTGTGCATGGAAGCAAAAGCATGTCAGTTTTATATGAAACAAAATTCGGATCTGCCACTGGAAACTCTGAAAGACAGCACTGGATAAATCAGAAAACAGGCCGTGTGCTTTAATAAGTACATAAACTCAATATAATAAGGAATGTAAAAAGAAAAAATAAATCTATCACGTCTTAAAAAATGAAGTTTTAAGAAAAAAACATTCATATGAGATGAACTATTAGCTCCTCAAGCTCCAGACAGAGGGCAGAAGCAGCGATCTGAGCTTTCAAAGGACAGCCATGATGAAATGGGAGAAAATCTCACAGTTTCCTCTAGCACATGAAAAAGATTTAATACAAGTTCTCATGATTTCAAGAATACATAAAGAAAACCAGACCTGTCCCCCCCATACATTTTCCCAGGTTTCATTTTTTTCTGTTGAAAAAAAGAAATGACGAGAAAAATTWAAGAAGAAAATGCAAATCTCAATCTATAGAAAACTCCCACCTCAGTCTCAGATTCCAGGTCTGAGCAAACAATAAAAAGCTAAGGTAAAGATAACAACCTTAAAACTTTGAAAGACTGAAGTTGTGCACATTCACCTTAGCCTATATAAAAAGAAAATAAATTCCATATCATATCACACACCATCCTATACACTGTCAGCTAGATTCTGTGCAAAGCTATTTTCTTTTTGCTAATTGTAGAAGCTGAACAGAACATATTTTGATTTAAAAACTTTACTATTTTACTGTTCATGCTAAAGGAACGCTTGCAACAATTTCAAGTCAAAAGCCAACCTAAATCATTGCATGTGGTTGTAGCTACTGGCAGGAAGAAGGGTATTTTTCCATAGGCAGGTTTCTTGTTTTCAGTGTTTAAGAAGCTCAGAAGCAGCTTCTGAGCTCACAACTACTCAACTTACAGTTTACTGTAGTCGTGGTGTCCTCTGTTGAGCAACCTAGGAGAACAAGACATCAAGCCTAGGCCTTTACTTTGTGACCTAAAGCGACCAGGTATTTTTCCTTAAAGGCAGCAGCAAATAAACCTCAAAAAATAAGCTGGGCACTTGAAGAGACCAAGATGAAACCGTGATAATGCAGCTTGCAGTGGTATGAGGAAAACAATTACTGAAGGGAGCAAAACCAGAACCTTCAGCATAAATTAATCACTGAAAAAGCATTTAAAGCATTAAGTAGACCAAATGARAGAACATGTGAAAATATAATTTAAGAGTAAATGAAAATAAAACAAACTCATTGACATTCAATGTTTGCATGGATGTCAGAGTTGCTACTCCCTTGTTAAGTATTCAGATGGCACCTCAGTATTGAAACTATATTTTAAATGGGTCAAAATTTGACCCATTTTGAACACAAAGAGAAAGCACAGAGAACCAGCTCCACAAAAATTACAGACCTATGAATRCTCCTGAAAAGATGAATAGTCCAAAAATGAGACTACAAATACTAGGAATACTAGGGTTCCAAAATTCTAGAAATATGGCTTATTTCCATGTCATCTTCCTCTCCAATATGAGGATTGCTGAAATGAAATTCAACCTGCCCTAAACCCTCCTGATTGATTAATACATACTAGAAGGAAAGTCACTGAGCAGGCATGGGAAATTAATCAGAATTATGAGTGATTAAAATTACAAGAATTCTATGAAGTTGTTTAAGTGTCTAAAAAAAAAATAATCACAAGTAAAGTATCTTGAACACGAGTTCCAAAAGCAGCGCTTTCAAAAATAAAGATTAAAAATAAAATCTTCAAACTAGAACTTATTGCAATAAATGCACTTCTCTCTTTTTACCAYAGCAGTTGTCTGCGGATTACTATGTGGAACGTGACAACAATCATCCATAATGACTGGTCTGCCCGAGGATTCACTGTCCTTTGGGAAACCTCCCTTATTTCTCTGACAAGGTATACACTTCCTTATGCAGAAAGATATGCAGGATGATCTGAAGCCCAATTATCCTATTCGATTTCCTCCCAAGAAATATTAAATATGATAAAACAGCATCTCTAATGAAAGTCGTATACAAACTTCTTCCCGTACTTTGCTTGGTAAGTTACAGACGAATCATCCTAATGACTTATATTGACATAATCCCTCATTCATTTATTCACATACCAAGGACACAGCCACTCAGTGTCACAGTGTCCTATGCCTCAAATCCATGTGGCTTTGCTATGTTGATGGGTGTGAAAGGATTGATTTTCTACCACATCTGCAGCCCAACAAATAGGTCAGTCATTGTTAATAGTGAAGTGGAAGCAGGTAAAGCACATGCAAGCACTGAAAGCAGCATTTGCTTTGATTCTTCTGCTTTCTTTTCTTCAAAGCTTTGACAAAACCAAAGTGTATCATTCACAGTCTTCCCAATTACATGAACAGACTGAATCAATAACCTTTAAAACGTAAATTCTTGGAAAGAGGCAGTCTCAGACATGTATGGTATTATTCTATTTCGACACCTGCAATCTTACCTTCTTCTGAAGAACATTAACTTTCCGTTCCTTCACATCTAACATGTCCTTGAGGTCATGGATCTCTCCTGCTTGAGTCCCTTTCTCCTCTGCCATCTCCTGAATCTGCTTTGTCTTCTTATTTAGCATAGTCTCTTTCTCCTCCAGACGTAATCGTAATGCATCCACCTGGATTTAGACAGGCAAAACAAGAGCTTCCTTAGCAAGGAAGGAGAGACCTTAGAAAAGAAACTGCACCTGTAAAACAAAGTGTAGTCAAACTGCAAGCAGATGCTGATAAGTAATGTTCCTTCCTTTAAGACTCACCATACATCAACTTGTGACAAAACAGTTATTATAAATGACAGAAGGCTCAACAATTAAAATAATCAAGTTTTATTCCCAAATTACACACGGCTAATGCTTCTTCTAGGAACATTTGACTCCATACTTGTAACAGCTCAGTCTTCCAAGATTCAAGTTTGGATTATTATTTCCTGAGAGTAAAAGCTACTAGAAGGCATTTCTCCTAAACACTTCTCTTAAGCCACAAAGGTTCTCACATAAAGGGTTCCATTATTGGAAGCACTACTAATATTTATAGATTTAAATACTAACTATTAGTATCAAACAGTCATTTTATATTTTGTCTTTTAATCTGAATTGGACTTGCAGCTCAGGCTGCGAGTAATGACAGCAATGGTCCCTGTGGCTGCTGCAGACCAATGCACAGAAAGAGGACTGCCTTACAATGGCTCAGATTATTTTGTCTTAAATAGCAACAAAATAGTTTTAAAAACAATTCGTTTTCTGCAGGATGCTGGTAAAGTGGAACAAATGGCACACGACAGAATACAGTGGGTACAATTTGGACTCATAAAGGTACTTGGAGCTCCCATGGCATTGGGAAATGTAGAAACACGCTCTGGGAATACTGTGGCATCCCCCAACTTCAAACTTGMATGTTGAGAAGCTTCTGCTTTTCCTTCTACAATTTTTTCTTGCAGCAATGAAACATAGTGCTCACAAGACACAAAACGGGAGAAGGAATCACAGCTATCTGCATATAAATTTGATGAGAGGAAAAGGGTCACCACAGACTAATCCCAAAGACCATTGTGGAATACGAAATGCAACACTCCCAACCTGCTCAAGACACCAAAAGAAACCCACTGACCCCTATCCACTTGGCATTCAAGCAGAACCCAGATCTGCCAGCTCAGCTGCTAATCTTTTTTGACAGTATCAGGTTTGGTCCCTATTAGCTGAAGCCATTACAGGACATCAGTCACAGTGAGTAAATAGGGCCATCTTCGGATTTCTTGGTCCTTCTGAACAGCTCAGAGACACACAGCAGAGGCACAAAGCAAAAAGAAGTCTTGGACAAATCCAACTAGAGAATGACTTTAAAGACAGACAGGGCAGCACGTTTACTGTATTTTGGATTGCATTTAATTTTAATGTGTCATTCTAACTTCACTTTAATTGGCTAATGGAAGAGTTGCCTCTAAGGCTCAACATTTACAGTATATAACTCCTACAGAAGCTGTTTAGCCTGATTCCTTTTACACGGAGCACTAAGCCCTTGCCAGTGGGGAAAAGAGCAGCCCTGCTCTTCCAATCAGCACGGCAGCCCTGCTGCCACCTCTACATCTGCAGCCTTCTCACTTACACATACATTATTAAAATCACATTCCTAACCTCTCACCCAGCGAGTGGGGCATGGAACATATTGTGCACTGATATGTGAGTAGCAGGTATTATCCATATATGATTTATAGGATTGATAGTTCTTACAATGATAAGTTTAACAGGTGGATCAGACTTGGTCTTCTATTTAAGAACACCCAGAAGTGTTGATTGATCAGGTATGTCCTCCTCTGGATACATCTAGTACAGAAGCTAAGAGTCACTTTTATGCATTCTTGACGGGAAACTGAAAATCTCCCTCACAAGAAAATCCACATACCCTCAGCAGTTGTGCTGCAAAATATTTGAGACACTCCAGATGCCTTGAGCAAAGCATTAAAGGAACATTCAACATCTGCAAACAAAAATGTATCCACAGAAAGCCTGCCATTTTCTGATTGATTATTCTCTTTGAACTCTAATTAGCCTATGGTTTGGGGTAAATTGCATTCCTGGTTTTATTTGCRTGAGGTCCCTGCCTAGGAAACCACAAGAAACACTTTCGAGAATATTTTCAAAGGCTGGCAGGACACACAGTCATCACCTTAACACTATTCCTGGCAGAGCACTCCACTTGTTTACTCATGTCAGCTCAGTTTATGTATGGCATCCACCCACAGTGACAAGAATCGAGGGCTCTGGCAGTCAGATGACGCCAACTTCAACAAAGTCAGCTTAAGATTTTCACTGTGCATGGAAATGACCAGGCAAACAGTCACTGACACCCCTTCCCCGACTTCTGCGTCCTGGATGGTGTTGTCTTAACCCACACTTAACCTAACTGCTTGCACAGGAATAGTCTGCCCTGCCTTTAATTATACATGGCAAGTAAAATATTGAAGTGCAGCTCAGGCAACTGCTAGCTTTTCATTTAACAAAGTGCTTACTAGCTCAGCCAGCATGTGCCATCCAAAYTGCCACAGAGCTTTAGGGAAATGAGCACTTCAGTTGTCACCCTCAACACAACAGCCTTCCTAGACAAAGACATAGCAGGAACACAAGAGCCCTCCTTTGAGGTGGGTAGCATACCTAAAGCTCCATATCTCTTTACTCTGGAGAAAGAACTCTGTAGGAAAGAGTGAGTTAGGAACCAATGATCTTTCCTCATCAAATTTTCCGGTAGCAGTAATAATGCAGAGTAATTAATACTCTGCATCTCTGTTCCCAATAGGTATTGTGCATTAACATATAGCATTTTGATTGGAAATTAGGTATAGGACATGAGCATCTCCATCAATTGTCAGAAAAGACAATGACAAAATTTAAATTACTTTAATTTTTTTTTTCTCTGCGATTTTGCAATTAGATCAAAATTGTAACTTTAGAGCTCTTATCAATTTATATCTTAAGGAAATCACTGAAATTTTCAAATATCCACAGTGAAATAGAAGTTTATGTTCCATTTTCAGAATTTACTAAGGAGATTGAACCAATAATTCTTCACTTATTGGACCTTCAAAACATATTTTWAAATCATTTTTTTGCAACATCTCTAACTGTATAGTAGTGTTCTGTAGTATCATTAAGACAGTGGTGATTCCCACACACAGGTTTAGGGAGATGTCTGTGATACACATTTAGTATCTACTCTCTTCCTGATTTAGATCAGTRAGCAAAGCCATAGACCATTCAGTAAAAACCTGAAGTGCAGTGAATTACGACCAAGTCTCCTGGTGTCTCTCTAATGGCAAAATTCAAAGTTTTCTATTGGTATGACTATGCTATTGATAGCAGAAGAAGCAGATAAAATACCACTTCTAAAATACATGGGCAGAGATTGCCATAATTTCTAAGAGGTGCTTACCTACTTCTTAAAGTAGACCTTGAAGTAATTTTGTATTTTCTTTTTATTTTGTATTTTTTTCTATGCCAGCACTCAGAATTCAGAGATGAGRAATGCAGCAAAGAAACAGTAAAACTGTATTTTGTATGTGATGTGAAGTGTTGCTTTTACATCCTGCTTTACATGGTGCTAGATAAAACATCCAACTTCATGAAATGAGAAACTCCATTTTAAAAGGACAGGTTTGTRGCGATCTATTGCTATATTTCAAACAAGTTATAATGTAGAAATGGGCTAAGCAGTCTCCCTGGTAGCACAGTTAGTAATTAAGATTTAAAAACTATGTGTTTTTAAAACTATTACCGATTAATTGTGAATACAGAATTCTTTGTTTTCAGCCTTGACTTCCCTTACAAATCGCACTGGAGTTGACACTTTGCAGTTCCCCACAAGTCGTAACAATGCCCATTACGCTCTGTGGAAGAACTYGGAGTGCTGTTTCTGTGAACATACAGCCCTTACTTACCCGGGCAGCTCCTACGCCCGCAGGCCCGTGCCATAGAGGAGAGGCCCACGCTGGGCTTCGCGCAGGCCTTGCTCCTCAGCTTGGCGCTCGCTCTTTGCAGCAGCAGTAGCTCACGCTACCAAGAGCAGCAGACCCCCAGGTCTCCTTCACACGCTCCTCAGTAAACACGAGGCACTCTCTAGCTGTCTCTCATATTGGGAAAAGCAACTGTAGTTTCAAGCTGCCACTGCAGGCCCTTTCATAAGGAAAGAAATTTCACATTCTAATAAGACGTTCAGAGCAACCTTCTGACGACCGGATTTATTTCTCTGCTGAATATAAATCTGAATGTACCATATGGAATAGGCTGATTACAGATTCATGCCTCCTTGGGCGCTATACAAAATTAAAGGGCAATGTTCTTGCTGATTGAACTACCCTCCCTTTGAAGCCACGTACTTGCCCGCACGGATCCAGGCTAAAGGGCTCACCGGGGCATACTACAAACTTTGTATGGATGGAATCTCAACTCCAAAATAAATATTGGTTTGTGTTCTCGTTTTATTTGCAAAGAGATTGCTAATTTGCAGAACTGTTTTTAAAGCTTCTTTCACAGACTGAAGAGTTAACCAGCATATCTTCTCCACCAAAATAGCCCTTAAGGTAAATAMCCCACAAACAGCACACTGCTCTTTGTAGCTCCACTATGGCAGGTGTGAAATCTAATTTTTAAGACACTGGACCACTGTATTCTTCCCACTTAACCTCAGTTTTCTTTAACAGAAAACTAAAAGGCAAAGGCTTATGAAGGTACACTCTTGTCCCTCTAAATGTTTGTGTAAACATGGGGTATTTATTATGTTTAGTAAAACACGTTTTAACACTGACCAGTGTTGTTAAGAAGAGGGGCCAGACAAAATCTCATGCTTCTACACTGCTCTTTGTAAAAAAACTCTTGGATAAAAAGCTCTCTTGATTCAGAGAAGGAGTCAGTTTTGGTTTAGTATTGCATCCTAGTGCTATTTTGAGAATCTGATTCGGAAGAAATCAGAGGAAAACAGACATTCTCAAAGATTACTTAATAATACTATAATGAAGAAACTAGAACTGAATAATTCACTACAATAAAAAATCTCTAACTAAAATAAAATCAAAATTCACCTAATAACTACTCTATCAAAATTATATAACAACACCTTGTTTCTAAATATTTTAAGTTTCACATTCTTCAATGAATAAATTAACATCATAACAGTTGAAGTTATGACAATATACGTCAAGGCTATGGCAAGGCATAAATTTTCCTGTAATTTATRAAAAGCATTCAAACTTGCTAATGAAGTAAGCTGCAACAAAGACTGTAATTCATGGGCCGAAAAGCATTCTATTTTAAAAAGCAAGTGGAATGTCTCTAGCTTAGTAAGTCTGCTACAATACTGTGTGGTCAAATAATTTATCTACATTATTTTCAATTATTACAATCTATCAAAAATTGCAATTTGTCTTTTAAAAAATGTTTAATTRTCTAGATTTTAGTTCCTAAAATTACCTATTTTTAGTTCTAAATTCAGTTTAGTGAACACTAATCTCTAGTCAATATATTTTTTTAAACAAACAGGTAAAACTCTAGGGTACAATCTCCACTATTAAAAACGAATGAACAAATTTAATGCTTCTGACTGTAAACCAAGACATTTCCAGTTATTCCAACCAAATAAAACTAACCTTGTCTCGACTAAATRATCCAATTATCAAAATAAAAAGAAAATTATAAATATAAAAAAGGGAAAGATAAATAATCTAGATTAAATKTTGAGTTCAATCAAAATTACAATTGGTCCATAAAATTAAACAATTCTCTTTCTGTCCAATAGGTAATGAAGAAGGTAAGTTTTTCATTTGATTGCATTTTTAAATTCAGTTATAGGAAAATAAAAATAAAAAGAAATATGCTTCTGCATGCACACTTATTGCTCCAGAAAAGCTATGGACCTTGGTACCTTTTCATCTTCTACCTTCTCTCTGTTTAGTAACCTCCAATTAATATTCCACCTAAAATTGTCTAATAATACAATCAAATTTAAATACAGAACAACTACTTTCAACTTAAACTTTAAAACTGCTGCCTTAATTTCAGTCCTGGAGATGAACTTGTGGACCCTGTCTGCTCTTCTTGCCCTGTCAATGCTAAGTCTAGTGTAGATACTATCTCTTCCTGTAAGACTTGCTTCACTTAGAGCCTTTGCCTATCACTGCTACACCACTAGATTGCAGATGCTGCAAAACTAGAAACAGATTCTGCAATTTCAGCTTCTACATAAATCAGAGAATTATCACAAAAGCTATCTTAGAACAGCCACAGATATTTATTATATGACTTTTATCTCTACATGCCAAGAAATTGCACCCATATATTCACTGAATGCAGCTTAAGAAAATCTACACTAGGATAAAGCATTCAATAAATTTTACCATACTGCATTATCTTTCTATAAACATTACCCCCCAATTCTCTTGCATACCTATTTCCTAGCTCTTGTGACTTTTAATGGCTTTAGCTGCAACGTCTCAAAGATTTTTTTTGATGCAAGACTGCCATCTTTTGGACTTTTCCAAGCACTACAATCTGCCACCAGTGAATTGAAATGCTGTCAATATACACTTTGTATTTGTTGCTCGAAAATTTCCAGAAACAATTTTTATGCTTTAGTTATTAACCATTTGACACTCATAACTACAATGGCATCTTACGGGATACGGGAATTCATTAAAAAATTGTTTTCAAATCTCACGTTTCTGAAAATATATTTTCTTTGACCTGGAATACGCACCATAAAACATAAAAACGCATATTTCAGGTGTAAGTACATGTCTACGTGCAAGAGCTCCTGTACATGTGGACAGCAGCAATGAAGCCACAGTGAGCTGTACGCAGTTCGATCACTCTTTCTCTCTTTGCTCTCTTTTAGCTATGAGGTCATGGAAAATAAGCCTCCTGAGCAACGTTGCAGGCTCCAGATTACTGGAAGTGACTGCACTTTAGACTGCATGCAGGGTAAGTGTGCAGTCCCCCATAGGGAGATGCATGCACACATACCCTTTTCTTTTTTTTCTATCRCTCGTAGCCTAGAGAAACCAAAACATATAATCAAAGACACAATGTGCAGCAATGTGTGCAGAACAAGCAGTACTAAACCACTATGAGACAGATTACAGTGTACCGCAGATTTCTCAGACAGGAAAATCCTAAATTGTAAAATCTAATCAAGAATCACAGAATGGTTGAGGTTGGAAGGGACCTCTACAGATCATCTAGTCCAAACCCCACTGCTCCAGCAGGGATACCCAGAGCATGGGGCAAAGGGTGGCATTCAGGCAAGTTTTGAAGACCTCCAGAGAAGGAGACTCCACAGCCTCCCTGGGCAGCCTGTGCCAGGGCTCTGGCACCCTCACTGTTAAGAGTTTTTCCCTTAAGTTCCTTATGTTTTCCTTAAGTTCCAAAAAAATTGTGGAACTTTTGGTGCTTCAGTTTGTGGCCGTTTCCTCTAGTCCTATCGCTGGTCACCACTGAAAAGAGGCCGCCCCCTCCTCCTCACTGCCTCCCCTGAGGTATTTATACACACTGGTCAGGTACCCCCTCAGCCTTCTCTTCTCCAGGCTGAACAGGCCCAGCTCTCTCAGCCTTTCCTCACGGGGCAGGTGTTCCAGGCCCCTGATCATCCTCATAGAAGAAGGAAGAAAAGGAATAACTCTTTTTGTCCCTTCCTCTATGGAGAAGTAACAAGTAGAGAAGTTCTCATCTCACCTCAGTCTGCAGGATGGCAGCTCTCTGCTCTTTCGCTGTAAGAGACTCTTTGAGAACTTCAATGTGCTGCTTGCTGTCTGAGAACTGGTTTGTGAGGGTCTCCAGCTTGGTCTGCAAGGCAAGTAACTCCGTATCTTTGCGTGACAGCTCCTGTTTCACCTGACCAATCTGAACAAGAAAGGAAAGGAAAGGAAAAAGAAAACACAGAAAAAAAAAAAAAAAGAAATTGTCACTTAATACTTTTGCTACAGCAAAAAATAAAACTTTACATAACTACCAACGAAAGGTATGACACCCTCAACTCAGCCCACAGCGTTTTAAAGCCTTCAGTTATTTTGAACAAAAGGTTAGAAAAAAAATGTCATGAGCAAATGGTATCAGAAAAAAGGGGGAARCCATAGCATTAATTTTGTAAGAGAGACTCTTTATTTTTAAGAGAGTCAGTCTTTTCTTAGACGTCTTTCAAATGACTGCCAAAAATAGTTACTTAGTAGGGGTAGCAGGTAGAAATTAGAACAGTAATGAGAATGCATCACCTTAAAGTACCAGAAAAGATGAGATACCTACAGATTTTCTCTTAAAAGAACGATGTTTGCTTTTAAATGTCAATCCAGTGAGTTTTTCTCTCCCATCTTTCCATTTATCAGTAAAATTTCATGTTTTTGGRTATAATCAAAAGCCACATTTATTTTTCCCATTTATGAAATCAGCATTTGGTTAGCATTTTCTAAGAAATACCCTTCAATTTAATAAACTTTCTTAAAGTAGATTCGAATATACATCAAATCAGCACGAGAACAGTTTTTGGAATTGCACATTGTTGAGAGCAATGTTCTAGATTTAAATTTTAATTTAAAACAATATGGAAATTCCAATTTATCTCAATAAATCTAGGTTAGATTGTCATTGTAGTAGGCTACTAGAAAGAAATTTTAAAAGAAAAGTATTGAGATGAGATCACATCGCCTCCTAAATGCAACCATTATCCAGAACAACTTTGATGCAAACTTGAAGAAAAATATATGGTTTTAATAAAGAGCACTGGAAAGTCTAGACTTTCCATAGACTTAGGCAAGTGTGCTCCTAACTTGACAACACTGTTTCAATAATAGACKGTTAAAGAAAGAAAACTCTTTATCCAAGAGTATTAAAATAGCATCAAAAAYGTCAGCAAGGACTCCCGTGTTCCAGTGTGAAATGGTGTAAATGAGGAGATAAGGAAGAAGGGGAGAGGAGGGTGGAGGACATTTTTCTCTTAAAAAAGAAAAGTTTTTTTCATCCATTTTAAGGTTTCACCATCCTTTTAAAAAGATACAAAAATACAGATGACAGCATTATTTCTCCAATCACACACTGACCAATAAAAACAGTTGCACTGTACTGCTAGTCACAGCAGAATGGGGAGATGTAAACTATTTAACAGTAGTTATGTTTTCTGCAGTCCCTAAACAAAAAATCTTCCTAAAAATCATACATGACACACAGAATTAGTAGGTAGTATGAATTATGGCAGAACTTCACTAAAACAGTTTGGACTTTCTTTGGAAAGAGAAACACTCTTTGCAAAAGAAGAGATATTTACCCTAAATATTCTTGATCGGAAATGTTTGCATCTGAATACAACCATATTCTACTACATCAAAACTGCGAAGCTGCTCTGTAAGGTTGTGCTCTCCRAAAATCCTTGTTTCTGAGCTGTAAGCTCACCCAGCTGATGTGCTAAACTCTTGGGATGCATGCAGCGTACACCATTTCAATTTGCAAAAGAATTTAAGGTAGCATTAGGTGCTCATGACTCTCTACTCCATGAGGCCCTCCAGACACTCAGCAAAACTTTCACAGCAAAGGAAGACCCTAAATTCTCGCTGCTAAAATTATCCTGACAGTTTTTGCGAGTGTCCAGCACTCCTGGCTTTGTGCGTGAAAAAGCATTAACAGGACTCATCACATGCTTTTGAACAGTTATTAGACTATTTTTCTTCTAGGGAGGGCAAATCTCTGAAAACCAAGCTCCAAAATGGGTGCTGAATACTTCTGAAAATCTGCTTCAATAGCAAAGAATAAATTAAAGCTAAAACGGATAATACTGTTAAAAGTAATTAACAGTGTGCATTCTGAAGAGTGATGTTACAGACACCTAAATGGTGTGAACAAAAGGCAGCTACAGAGCAGGCTGTTAGTTCTACTGTTATATAAAGCTATGAAGTAGGTAAGGGAAGAAAAGTATAAGCTGCCCCCAAAGCCAGAGAGCTAGCAAGCCCCCGTGAGTGGCCACTGCACACAAAAGATAAATCTTACGGCAGAGACCTCGACCTGGAGACCAGCCACTCTTTTTTTCAGGTCCTCCCCTTGAGCCTCTTTGGCACTTAGCTCTTCCTTCAGTTGTTCTACCTGTCACGACATTGTTATTCTTTTAAATGTTTAACATTTGTCATCTTCTAGATGGTGTGTTTCGACTCAAGTGACTAAAAGTGACAAAGAACTGAACAGAAGGATCAACACTGCTCACTCATTTGCTTCTCCATTCTTCGTGAAGTCTTCGCAAAAGTTTAATGTCTCTCTAATTTGCTATAAGCTGCCAGACAGGAATTTGATTATGAAACAAAAGTAGATTTTTATAAACAGTTATACTTGTGTTTATATATGTCAAATGTTGAACACTTTACCCAACCAAAATATTTGCAAGTGGAATCAATGAGGAAACAACAGCAAAAGAGAGGTAATGATTTTTTCAGTTTAAGAGAAATATATGTTATTGAAAAAGAAAATTCTGTGCATTACAAAACAAGGCAAGGTAGCAAGACATGAAGATTGGAGCTGGTTATGGTTCATGAGCAAAATGCTATCCAAAAGGAGCAAATTTTCTGYAGGAAAAGACACGAGTAGACCCAGGTCATGAAACAGATCCAGAAATCAAGCAAACAGTTGAACAGACCTAACAGTACCATAGAGAGAGAGAGAGAGCAGGAGGAGGAGAAGTGGGGGAGGAAGAAGGGAAAGAGGGAAGGGAGAGAGGGGAAGGAGGGAAAGAGAAAGAGAGAGAGAAAGGGGAGGAGGAGAGAGAGAGACGGAGGGAGGACAGAAGGAAGGAAGGATGGAAGGAAGGACGGACGGAAGGACAGAAGGAAGCAAATGTTTCATTCCTAATTTAGAAGGTGATAGTCTTCAGTTTGTAGAAGCAATTTGGTGGAATAAAGGAAAAAAAGCATAAAAGAACCAACGTCCTTATCCTGAGGTGAATCACTTGATTGGAATAAGAAAAGTAGAAGAAACACTCTTATTACTTGTTTTTAATTTAGAGAAAGTAATAGCTGTATTTCTACAAAAAAAAAACTCATCATTTTTTTTTAAACAAGTGTTACCAACTTGTTTAAACAACATTGCAACAAATGCAATGGTCAGAGCTCTTTAGGACCCAGCAGAGATACTGTCAACCTCTGGTCCAAAAATTCATGTGCTGCTTTTAAGGAGAATGCAAAAGCTAACCACGAAAATAAAGTCTCTGCACAATATAGTTTTATTTACTGCACATGGTAGCCTGTATTCACACTAGAAAAAAATAATGTCTAAGAATATTTCTTCAAAAGAAACAAAGAATGAATTGACATGTCTAAAGCACTGCAGTAATCTATGTCCTTCTTTATGCCTGAGGACCAGCATGTCTCAGGGCTATATCTGTCCTGAGGCACATATATTTCCAACTGTCTAAGTGGGGTGGTGTCTACTGTTGTAGAATATGAATACATCATATTCTGATGCTACTTATAGTAGAGAAGGTGTAACGAAAAGCCATTCCAAGATGGTTCGTGCTCTTTTCCTCCTTTACATAATTYAAAGAATCTTACTTATAGTGCAATTCATTCAACAGATCATAAAAAAGAAATACTCTTCTTTTTCCATAGACTACATTTGAAATTATTGTAGACAAAATAAAACTGAAAAGCATAATGGGTTCTCAATGGTCTGAAGATAAACACAAAATCCTTTTGGAAAAAAAATTGAGGGTGAGAAAATGAAAGCAGAATTTGTCCCACTGRCCTTACTGAAGTACCATTACACCATTCTAAAATTTGAGTTTAAAAWCTCTTAAATATTATAAAATTAAACAAATACTCTCTTGCAGTTTCCTAGCATTTGCACAGGAACCCAGATTCTAACTACTTTCCTTAAATGGATATGAAAATTGTCACATCTATTCACCAATCTTCAGTTTATTTTACTACTGTTTCTGTTTTCTCAATACCTTATTTTTCATGAATTTGGAATGACTACGATACACCTCCATTTGCTTCATTTCCTCCTCACGTTCTTCTGTGCTCAGAGCTCCGTTTGACTTCAACATTTGAATCTCCTCTTCCAAATCCCGGAGGCCACGCTCCATGGAAGAAATTTTTGAATCCTAAAGAGGTTCAGAAGAGACAAACAGAGATATACAGTCAAATGCCTTGTTAATATACCATGACAGGTATAAGATGAAAAGAGTTTTTTGGAGACCCTTGAAATTTACCTTGAAGTTCCTACAGAAAATGGTCTGCACTTCACTATACTTAGCTGTCTAAGTGTTCAAGTACTTATTTTTGACTTTTTTTTTATACCTTTCAGAGAAACACAAAATGGTGCAGGTTGGAAAGGACTTCTGGAAATCATCTAGTCCARTCCCTTTTAAGGAAAGTAAAAGTTTGGCATTGAAAGAAAACATGGGTAGGGGCAGGGAAACTGCACATAAACAATATATAACAGAATACCAAAAAAAAGCCTTTAAAATCAGAACTCATCCAATCTCAAATTAGAGAAAGCTAATTCTAACTGATATGCAGTAGACTGTGGCTGCAAGAACGTCAAAAAAAACGGGTTTCAGCTATTAGTAACTGGAATGAGGTCACAAATGGAGAACATTAAAAGCACCATAAGCAAGGAAGACATGCAGCAATTTCGAGTGAATAATCCAGCAGAGAATACTCTACTATCCTAGTTCATACATAGACTATTTAAAGTTATTCCATAATTTTAGTTAGTTTTTCCATAACTTTAAATTCCATAATTCCATAACTTTAAAGTTAGTTCCATAACTTTGGATTATTTCCATAGCTAAAAAATTTACATGTGGAACAATAAGAAAGTCTGTCTAACATCTTCCTCACAGTCCTACAGAATGAACAGAAGTTTCCAGTTTAGTTGGTTTACTGCTTCCCCCGTGTTAGAAGAAGCATGAACTATTTCATTCACCATATGTATATGTGTACTAGTAAATATGCACATGAACTTATGAAACAACCTCTTAAAGAAGGCTTTACTGTTTTCTCCAAAAGTTTTCCTCTTTCCTGAAATACTGGTAGTATTTGAAACTATCCTCCATTCTTACACAAACCAATCATTCATCAAGRTTTATTTTTGCCTGATAAGCAAAGTACAACTGAATAAAAGCATGAAATACTTTCATACGTAGGTCTTCATTCATGAGATAAGATTGTTTGAAAGTGCCATTATGAAGATCTAATCTGATCCCATGACTAATTCCTGATGCTTACAATAAAACTGGTAAAGGAGTCTTCTGCAATGAGAAATTATAAAAGTAGTAATGTGACGTGCCATGTTGTAATTTACAACAGCACTTTATTTCAGTACTCACATTGTTTCCCAGAAATACCTGGCACGGACAGCTTTTTTTGATAGCACGAACCGCTTATTGCTACCAGACCATCAATTATCTTTAACTGCTGTGGACCATGAAAAAGACTAATAAAAGATCCAGGCTAGAGAGAAGGGGAAGGGCTATGGAAAACATTAAGATGGAATGGAAAGAAACAGTTGGAAGTGGGGGGAAAAAAAGAAGGAAATAAAAGAGAAAGATGCAGATGGAGAAAGATGGAGAGAGGAAATGAAATGCAAGAGAATAGTTTCCAATTTTTCAAAATGTATTTCTCCAAGCCATGCCTGTTGGATCTATTTTATAGACCATACAATATGAAATATGATTACATTTAGCTGTGTAAACCACACACTCCACTTGTGATTTACCTCTTGGCAAATGGCCATTGTTCCATTAAATATCTGAGCTAATGGTTTAAGAATTCAATTAAATACATCCAWCCAGAGAAGCTAGATTTAAGGTGGCATATAGGCATCTCTGCCTTTATCACTCATTCTCTAAGTGGGTTTGGAGGTTGCAACCTCCAAGCTTTGTTGATACACGGAGYGCAGACATTTCAAACATTGATACTACAAAACAAAAATAATCCATATCATTATAAAACCCTACTTTTCCATAATTCCCATCCTCTTAATACAATAGAGTCTTGGTTGGAAAGAAATAAGCATATGCTGCTGCAGGCAGATAAAAGGCAGAGTACTATAGTATAATGAAAAAATCTTGAATCTTCATTGATTAATAAATATCTTGAAAGGATCTATTTTTTAGATACTTGCACAAGTATGGTATTTGATATAATCAGCTTTCTTATGAAAAAACATATTCCAAAGAGCATGATCCTGTTAGCCATACGGAATCATTTACCTTCATCTCAATAACAGTTTGCAGAGCTTTTGTCTTGGCCGTGTCAGGAGCATTTTCAAATCGACGATGCACCTCCTGTACGGGCAGAAAATAAGGCAAGAGTAAGYCCAATGGCATCTTGTCCCACTTATCAACTACAAATGAAATAACTGCTCCCTTGTCTACTACAAGGCACATGTCAATGCCATCTTCTGATGTTACCGACTCATATTTTGCTTTAAGAGTTCTCAAATCTTAAAAGTAGAATCTAAATTTCATTCAACAGAATCACCACCTCAATTATTAAGGCATAGGGCAAAAAAAGGATCTTTGACCACCTAGTTACTCACAACAAACTGCTGAACTGGCAGTCAAACCTACTAAAAATCCTACTTGCTGCCTGATAAACTAATCCAAATTTTGTTAGCCTCTCAYAGAAGATAGATATACTTCCATTTACTTGACTACAGGTCTAATAAAAGTGCTGTGGTTTCTTTTTTAATGAGTCAAAGGGTTAAGCTGAGTTGATAATTCTCCTGTTCACATTTTTATGCCAGCATAGCAATACTTAGTTACATATGATGAAAATCCCTGCCCGGAGGGGCTAGAAGGTAACCGAAAGTACATGACTGGATAGTGCATTGCTCTAGAAGCTCAGTGTGTGTGAARGGGAGAATTCAGATGCCCATGTGATATTGCCGTTGATGTGACTTCACAAAGCTGGCATGTTTCAAAGGGCTCTCCAAGGAATAAAAATGGCAGAGAGCTGAAACAGGTTGTCCTACCATATAAAGCTTAAGCCAGTGACTGGAATTACAGGAGACATTCCCCRTTTTTCCTGTTTGCCTTAATCATACTTAGGCACACAAACATGTTATTGCTGTTAAAATGTTAATATTAAATAGATGGAAGTCCTTCGGTACCCACAGAATATGAGTGGCAATATCAAATTCCAAATAAAAGCATGCGTGAACTCACATCTGCTCCTTCATCCCATGCTTTTAAAAGACAAACCCAAAAAGTCATTCCCTAAAACTTGTATTTTCACAGAGACAGTGCAGAAAGGTAACAATTATATATGATAGTCATAAAAATAATGTATTCCATACAATGAATTACTTGAATGAGAAAAGTAGATTTGTATGCCACATCCTCTTTTCACCCTCCTTTCAGGTATTTATACACAGTTAGAATCCCCTCTCAGCCTCCTCTTCTCCAGGCTGAAGTGGCCCAGTTCTCTCAGCCCCTCCTCGTGTGAGAAATGCTCTAGTCTCTWCATCATCTTAGTTSTCCTCCACTAAACTTGGTCCAGTAGCTCCATGTTCCTCTTGGATTGGAGGGCCCGGAACTGGGCATAGGACTCCAGGTACAGCTTTACTGGGGCTGATTAGAGGGAGAGGATTCATTCCAAGACCTGCTGGCAGTGCTCTTCCTAATGCACGCCAGGACACCATTGGCCTTCCTGGTCACAAGGGCACAATGATGGCTCGTGGTCAAYTTGCTTGTGGTCATCTGGACTCCCAGGTTTTCTCTAAGAACTCCTCTCCAGCAGGCCAGTCTCCAGGCTGTCCTCGTGCACTGGGTTATTCCTCCCTAGGTGCAGGACCCTGTATTTCCCTTTCTTGAACTTCATAACGTTCCTCTCTGTGCATCGCTCCCTTCTCTTGAGGTCCCTCTGGATGGCAGCACAACCCTCTGGGGTATCAACCACACCTCCCAGTTTTATATTATCTGCAGTCATGCTGAGAGGGCCTCTGTCCCTTCATTCAGGTCACTGATGGACAAGTTGAAAAATACTGGACCAGGTACTGACCTCTGGTGTACACTACTAGCTAGAGGTCTCCAACTAGACTCTGTGCTACTGACCACAACACTCTTAMGCTCTACCTTTCAGACAGTTCTCACTTCAATTCATCACACTGTCCATTCATCTAATCCACACTTCCTGAGCTTACTTATGAGGATGTTATGGGAAAAAAACCTTATTGAAGTCAAGGTAAACAACATCCACTACTTTTCCTTCATCCACCCAGCCACCCACCCCCTCAAAGGCTATCAGGTTGGTTAACTGTGATTGTTCCTTTTTGTGAAGGGATCTTGAAAAGTGATTCCTGATCGCTTTTCTTATTCTTCACATGTTTAGAGATGGTGTCCAGGATGAGCTTCTCCATCACCTTTCCAAGGATCAAGGTGAGGCGGATTGGTCTGTAGTTCCCTGGGTCCTCCTTCTCACCCTTTTTGAAGACTAAAGTAATACTTGCTTTCTTTCAGTCCTTAGGAACCTCTCCTGGTCTCCATGGCCTTTTAAAGATTATTGGAAGTGGCTAAGTAATGACATCCACTGGTTTCCTCAGCACTTGCACTTCCCATCAGGGCCCGTGGACTTGTGAATATCAAGTTCATCTATATGATCTCTAACATGATCCTCCTCCACAAAGGAAAGTCTTCCTTTWTCCAGACTTTCTCCCTGATCTCCAAGGTCTTGGATTTCTGAGGGCTGGTCTTATTCTTGGTCTGATTCCTGAGTCTCAGCAGTAAAGACTGCYGAGGCAAAGAAGGCACTCAATATCTCCACCTTCTTGAAATCCTTCGTCACCAGAGCCCCTACCCGATTCAGTCTTCCTGAATCTTCCCTACCTGATTTTCCGTAGTCTTCCTTTTGTTGCCGATGTATTTAAAGYGGCATAATGTATTTAAAGAAGTCACTTGTTTCTCATACTCTGTACACAGCTTGAGAGTCTCTGGTCATATATCACCGACACAAGACATATCAGAGTGGAACAATACTGTTATTATTCTACTTATCTGTACCTGAATTTACATCATGGGTTTTCTCAAAGACAAACAGCCTAGCCAAAGACTTCTCTCTCTTGGCTCAGGATCTGTTCTACCTGGTAACCTACATGCCCCCCAAAAAGAGCCATGTGATTCCTCTCCACTCTTCCTCCCAAGCACCGGCTGAAYTGCAGCACCACCACCGCCTCTCTGTGTTGCACTGTTTGTCTCCAAGACGCTCCCACTTCCATGTCTGGCTTCTGCTATGGGGTTACAGCCTCTTTCCTTCTGCTTGCCATCATACTCCCTACACCTCTCAATACTCTCACCAGTAGCTGTCCCAAGAAAACAGGAGACTTATTCAACATTCTTGGTTTTTTGCTGTAAAGAGGGATCTCACCAACTGCCTTTCTCACGGTAGCTCCAGAATATTGTTTCCACTTGACAACTTCCTCCAACTTGTTGATGCAAAAATTGCACCATAATTTTAAGATACTGTGGTTGCCAGTCCTCTTCAGGAGCAGCATATAAAAGGACTTTCTACCTTACCACTACTGCAGCGTTTTTAAGGCAGTTTGCTTGGTATTAGAGTATAGAAAAAATTTTCTTCTGATGCACATCTTCATTCAAGTCACCATTTTAATGTAATGCCTGTACCAACAGCATCCTTAACTTCACTGCCTGTTCTTGCACTACTTTGTGTTAATTTATAGTATTTTCATCTGCTTGCAGCTCATGATTCCCTGGCTCCTCACAGGCAGCCACATGGAAGGCATGAGAGCCAGACTGGTACCAGACCTCCAGATCAAGCTCCTCAACCAGCGCAATTCCTGCTGTCAAAGACAGCCCCTGCGCCGGTGCCGGCACATTCTGAACCCGTTCTCTGTTTCCATCATTTATTCACAGAAAGGCTCTGGTATCTTCACATGGTTTGGCAATGTGTAAAACTGCCAGCAGCAAGAGGGCAGGACACACAGCGTCCTTCTGGTGACTAAATGAGGCCATATGGAGCGAGGCAGTATGGAGTCAAAGATGCTCCATTCTCATCTTGCAAGGAACTGTCATATTTCATTTTCAGAAGTCCATTTGAAAATGAAAAATTTAATGGGGGTGCAGAAAAACAGGGTTTTAATCTCTCCAAGATTACCATTAAAAAGCTGCTGCTTTTGCTGTGGTTTTCTAACTTCAAGACGTATCTTCCCTTGGAAAAAGGGAGTAAGTTGCAGATATTTCTTCACTTTTTGGATCTTTAGGGAAGATCTAAGCCTGAAAAAGCACCCTATTTTGAATCATGTGAACTTCCACTAAACATAGAAAGTTAATGTTCCCAGCTGTTCCTGTCACATCACTTGTACAGCGACACAAGGACTGTTTTTGTAGGAGAAAATGGAACAACTTGATAACCACAAAGAAATTAAAACAATTTCCAGTGAACTTCTAGAAACTAAGAAAACAAAAGATAAAAAGGTCAAAAGAAAACACGCCAAAAGCCTATTTTGAACGATGTGTTATTCTTTTAGTAGGGCAACTAACAAATTTTCAATTCTCCAAAGACAGTCTCTGACCTGAGAACATAAAACCAATTACCACTATGGAAATGCAATAGGGTAAATACAAAGTATAAGAACAGCATGTCACTAAGGGATGCTGACACAACAATCTCCGCTTTTTCTCTGCGCAGCGTTTTCCAAATAGAAAACTCCTCCAAGCTTTTCCATTAGAAATGCCGGCATCTCCACTGTCTGGAGCGCTGCTTTGCACTTCGGCACAAGGAGTGCCCTACTTCTGTCACCGCAAGAAATTCTGCTGTGATTTGGACGAGCTGTAACCTGCTGCAAAACAACACCTCCCACCTCTGGAGCGCGGAGCAAGGACTCGGCTTTGGCAGCATGCCCAGAGCTCTGAAGTGCCTAAAAACAGGGCCCCGGCCTCACGGCGCCTCCTCCAAGTGTGGCTGCTGCAGGGACACCGTGCAGGGACATCCTTCTTTATCTGCAAAATGTAGGTCACAAACTCCTCTTCCGCGGGCAGAATGGAGAGATATTAATAAAATACATCTCTGAGGTACTCGGAGCCTGTTGCGGACAAGCCCCACAAAGCTGTCGGAAAATGAGTATTTTCCTATTCAGAGCAGTGCCCTGCACAATAATGCAAGCATATTCAGGCTATACTCAGAAATTGGGATCTGAAAAACACATACTCGATCCTTCGTTCTTTGGCAGTTCTCTATTTTGATAAAGTAATAAAACATTCTCTCTTTGCTCTATTTTTGTGTAGATAATATAGTAACATACAACTGGTGCTGTCACACAATATTTTTG